ACATGCACATACATACATACATACATACATACATACATACGTACATACATACAAACAAACACATACATACATACGTACATACATTCTGCAGACCACATACAACCGAACCTGCTCTAAAAACCACCTGTATAAAACAATCACCTGTACACAAACAGTCACACCCCATACCCCGCTTCCTACCCACCCCCTCCCCGCCAAGCTTTATTTTTGTATTATAAAGACACTGTGTAAAGACATCCACCTGTCTAAGACGGCCACTTTTTCCCTCTTGACAATGGGTGCATGGTCGTCTAATGTTTGTTTTAGTAGACGTTTTACGGACCTCGCAACAGCATAGGGGTCGTATGAGCGCCAGAAGATTAGAGGTGTAACAAGGAGAGTAACAAACATAAAAAAATAAAGGAGGGGAGATAAAGACGATAGATGTTTGATAGGAAAGAAGGAGCAAACCACACCAGAGCAACCGTCAACCACAAACTTGGCCGTCTTCGACAGTTTCGACAGAAGCTAGCTGATAAAACACACCTGCAGACGTAGACCTGGTCCGTCTGGTCCTGCAGTCTGTACACGTGGCCATCGGGAGCTGTGGCGTTGGGCACTGAGTGGATGTTGTGTACCTTGGTGTTGAACTGGACCTTAATCCCCAGCTTCGTCTATAGACAGACAAAGGTAGGATAATTTAGTGTTCTTGTGTTTCCACTTTGTGGAATCAGGCACTCGTCAAGTTTTGGGTGTCTGGAGTTATTGGTACCATTATAAAGCTTGTTCATGGGTCTTGCTCGAGATAAAAAAAATTACCCATCAAACTTGAATACAAGTCGAGATATTCGCAATTGAAGGAGATGGGGGTCGCCTGATTTTAGAGGTAAAATTAGTGAGAAAATGCCTGCCAAAGTCTGGTGTCTTACATAGCCTGAGAAACTTTGGAAACAAATAATTTACATTTTTTGTGCCTTTTAAAATCTTTTTCATTGAAGTCTTCACAGAAATGTGTTTTTCAATAGATATAAAAGATGTTGAACCAAAAAACAAAAACTTCAAAAAATTTTTTTTTAAAATAGCAAAACCGGAGGAAAAAAACACGATTTCTCTGATTTCATTATTTTGACGATTTCACCACGCTGCCTCACATATTCACCAAGGACCTTAGAATAAAAATTGTATTCACAACCTCTTTCATAAGATACTCATGGTTATACCGAGTGCACACTGCCAACCAAATTCATTTGACAAGAGTCGGAGCCAGCCAGACTTTCTACTGAATTCAACCAGTTTTGTTTGTTTGAGCAGAGAGCACTTCCTGCACCATCGACTCAATAATGGTCATCTAGTGCTGGGAAAAAGTAAGACAAACAGGAGACAGACAGAAACAACAGAGGAAAAGTAAAGAAGTAGGACCTACCAGAGGTGCCCTCCAACCACCTGGGAATTCGTTTGGTATTGTATAATAATAATAATAGTAATAATAATAGT